GTTTGAACTAAAGCCCTACACCTTGAGCAACTCCACCAGCACTTTTTTGTGAAGGGTTTTTTTTTTTAGGATAGGGTCTCGTGGAACTGTTTTCCTGAAATGGCTTCAAATGGTGATCATCCTCATCTCTGTTTTCTGAGTAGCTAGGATTACAGGTATGAGCCACCAGTGCCCGGCAAATGTACATATTTAATTTTTGAACTCCTTTTCAATTGAATACCATTATTCAAAATATTTTTTAAAATAAATCTTGATCAAACATTTATGCAGATTAAAATAAGTTTTAGTCACACTTAGGTTAAAGCAAGGAATGGTTTGTTTAGAGTTTAAAATTTGGATGCCTGTCTGTCCTGTTCAGCAACTTTCTTGGTGTTTGAGTTTTCATATCTTTTTAGGCATACAAACCTTGGTTGTGTTTGTTAATTTTTTAAGTAATAAATTGGGAACAAATTGCATTCAAATTAAGATAAAACTAATATAAAATTGTGAGCCTATTTAATTATGGTTAGCTGTTTTCCTTGGTCTTAAAAAGAGTTAAGGACCAAATTCTACTTTTGACTTTATTCTTCTGAGCTTATCTTTGGAGAGTTTGTGTCTTCCTGATGTCTTTGTGAGATGTAGATTTGATGAGGACAATTATAGGGACTATGATTTGAGCATGTTCTAAAATACCTTAGGTACTCTTAGTTGACCTATTTGTATTATGTCATATTTGGGCCTCATGGTAAGTACATAAGAAGTACATTTTCAGCTAGGCACCACTGGCTCACATCTGTAATGCTAGCTACTTAGGAAGCAGAGATCAGGAGGATCATGAAATCCTATGTAGAAAAAAGTCAATATAAAAAACAGGGCTGGTGGAAAGACTTAAGTGGTAAGAGCACCTACCTAGCAAGTATGAGGCCCTGAGTTCAAATTCATGCCCCCCCCCAAAAAAAAGTGCATTCTCAGAGTACCTGTTTCCCAAGAACATGAAGATTTAGGTAACTTCACAATGGGCAAGGTCTCGTCAACTATAATTTGTACATTAGAAGGTCAGCAGTTTTTTGCTGTATTTCTTAGTCATACCATTTGATAGTTAGTGCCTACTACTTTTGGATCCTTAGTGTGTGGGGGCTTTTACGTTTTTTAAAATCTTTTTTTTCTGTATTTTGTGTATATGTTGTTTTTTCAGTTTCTTTTATAGGTTTTCATTTTGTAATAGGAACAGATAAGATACATTCTTGCAAAATAAACTGCATTTTAAAGAGTTCAAAATACTTTTCTACAAAGTCATTTATTTACAGTACACCTTTGCCAACAAACATTCTTTACCTAATCTTCCCTAAATTTAAGAATTCTGGTTTATGTTTTTTCACTGGAATGAGTGGCATGCATGTTTTAATATCCTTCTTCCTCCTTTTGGCTCTTTATTCTTCTTGACATGTATCTTAATTTAGCTAATCGTTTTTACTAGGAAGTCTTAACATTTTCATGAATTCTAAGCTTTTTTGTGCTGTGTCTAATGGAAGAGTAACAAAAAGCAAACCTTTCATATAGTCACACCAAATGCACACTGCTCCTCTCCCACTCTGGTACTGGGGTTTGAACTCAGGGCCTCACTCTTGCTAAGGCAGGCACTCTTTCACTTGAGCCACTCCGCCAACCCTTACATTTGTTTTTTATTAGTTCATCTGGCCTATTCTTTTTTTTTACTTACATTTTTTTTTTCCATTTTTCTTTTATTATTCATATGTGCATACAAGGCTTGGTTTATTTCTCCCCCTGCCCCCACCCTCCTCTTACCACCCACTCCACCCCTCCCCGCTCCCCCTCAATACCCAGCAGAAACTATTTGCCCTTATCTCTAATTTTGTTGTAGAGAGAGTATAAGCAATAATAGGAAGGAACAAGGGGTTTTGCTGGTTGAGATAAGGATAGCTATACAGGGCATTGACTCACATTGATTTCCTGTGCGTGGGTGTTACCTTCTAGGTTAATTCTTTTTAATCTAACCTTTTCTCTAGTTCCTGGTCCCCTTTTCCTATTGGCCTCAGTTGCTTTAAGGTATCTGCTTTAGTTTCTCTGCATTAAGGGCAACAAATGCTAGCTAGTTTTTTAGGTGTCTTACTTATCCTCACCCCTCCCTTGTGTGCTCTCGCTTTTATCATGTGCTCATAGTCCAATCCCCTTGTTGTGTTTGCCCTTGATCTAATGTCCACATATGAGGGAGAACATACGATTTTTGATCTTTTGAGCCAGCCTAACCTCACTCAGAATGATGTTCTCCAATTCCATCCATTTACCAGCGAATGATAACATTTCGTTCTTCTTCATGGCTGCATAAAATTCCATTGTGTATAGATACCACATTTTCTTAATCCATTCGTCAGTGGTGGGGCATCTTGGCTGTTTCCATAACTTGGCTATTGTGAATAGTGCCGCAATAAACATGGGTGTGCAGGTGCCTCTGGAGTAACCTGTGTCACAGTCTTTTGCGTGTATCCCCAAGAGTTGCACACCCATTTTCATATGCCATATTTTAAAGACCTCTCTCAAATTAACTATTCCCGGAGTTGTGCTTGTTTGCCTGGCATAGTTTATCCTAGCTCCACAGCACTGTATACAAATTTTATTAGTATTTATGTAATTATAAGTACTTACATGCCTGTCCTGTTACTGAGCAAGTCTGGGCATTTGTAGTTTATAGTAACATCTGTTTGTGGAAGTAGGTTAAAAAGCACAAATTATTTAGAAATAGGCCATTCAATGCTATTATTATATTACTGCTTCCAGTGGATAGTTTTATTTACAAGACATGTTTGGTTCTATTTTATTTAGCCTTTTCCTAATGAGGAAAAGTGTTGTAGGACATTTTAGTGCCATCTACTGGATGCTTGGTAAAATGACTTTAAAAAGCTTCTTGACAGTGTCTTAACATAAACTTGTATATTTTATCATAAGCTGTTATTGCTGACATTACTATTTAAACACATCTCCTGAACCCCTAAAGCAGTACTAATAATACTCAGCAACACAACAGTGTTAATAATTGGAGACAGTTTACGTACATGCCTAGATATAATTAGCCAAAACATTTAGTAGATAGGAAGTTTAGAAATATCCATCCATTAAAGCTAATTTTAATTTAAGAAAAAATAATTAGCCTTGTATATGGGAAAGAACTTTAGTTGGAAGAAAAGGCATAAGTAGATAATGTTTATTTAAGTATCTATTACTTAAGTACTGCTTGAATACCTGAGCACTTGGTGCTGTTTTGTACATCTCCAGTATTACTACATTTAAGGAGACTAGCTTAGGTGTGATATTACATGTGTTTAAGGTTTTGAGACTAGTGAGATAAAAGAGGGGCTAAGGTGCAGGTATATCCCACTAATATTTGGAAGTCTACCATGTACTGTATTTCAGGTCTGTACATATAAAAATAAATGGTTTAGTGACCATAGTTATATGTGTTAAATGTTCTCCCCTTTTAGAATATCAAAAAGGACAGTTGAGAAACTGATGTTGTTATACGTACCTTGTGAAAATGTGTAAAATTTTTTAATGTAATTGTTTTATGCGTTAACTATACATTTGTAATTATATTTTGTCTCTATAGCAGTGAACCAAAAAAATAAGAACACTTACTGTTTCATCAGTAATAGTGCTGTTGGTGTATTTTGTACTTCTCTTTTTCATTTTAAAAGATCCTTCATCTTGACAGTGTACTTCACTCTGAGTAGATTTTCAAAAGTAAGGAAAACAGTATTAACCCAAAGGAATTTCCTATACTAGTCATGATGAACATCAAAAAAAGCTCTGTATTTCTAGTTGCTTCTGAATATTTGTGGTATTAAGCAAACATTTCATCTTTTTTCTGTGCCCTTTGATATAATAGCACTTTGCTTATTTTTAGGTTTGTGTAAAGAAAGCTAAGACACTTGTTTTTAATATGAATAACATTTACTTTAAGCATTTTCAAAATTTGTTGTAAATCTTACACTGACTTTTGAGAACCAAGTGTAGTTTGTATAATGAGAAAACAAAGATGTATGATTTTGTCAAGTTACATGTGGTACAGTAAAAAGGTACAGGATTTAAAGTTAGAGAGATGGGATTGGTTGGAGTCCTGACATTATTGTTCACTAGCTACTTTAAAGCCTTATAGGGGAGAATATTGTGTCAAACTGCTTGGAAAACAGTTTGTGAATGTTAACTCTTAATTTGAGGCTTTGTCATTCTTTTCATAAGGAGAACAGATAGGTTTTGTATGGCAAGCACTGAAGTATGAAGATTGTCGCATCTAGTGCTTATGATGTTGCTGTTTTGTAATTCTGGTGACTGCTAACAGTTATATGAGCTTAAAACTTATTTAATATTTACAAAATGTTATTTCTTCCAGTTTTGTATTTTCTTCAGTTTTGTATTTGCTGTAACCAAGTGAAAATTGTATTCTAGTGAAAGTATTTGGAAAAATTAAAGTTATTACCAAAATACTGAGTATGTTTGTGTTTAGAAGTTTGATTAAATATGTAAAATTATAATAATGGAGCAGAATCATTTAAAATACTTTTTTACTGGAATAATTTCTTAGTATATTCAGTAGCAAAATCATTTACAGTTTTGTTTGAACACTGAAGAAATGTGTTCAGAAGAATGCTTGAGAAATGATTCTGTATGTAAATAACTCATTTTGTTGCTTCTCTTGTAAACTTAAAACTGAATTGTCAAGATTTGGAATACTTTAAATTTTTTTTCAATTGATTTTGAGGATTTCTGTTGATTTTTGATGCTGTTTTTAATTGCATTTAAAGCAAGGAAAGGCTTTCTCAAAGACAGGTGTGCTTATTTTGTTTATTTTTAAATGCTCATCTGCTCATTACCCTGTGGTAGCATTTTTTTTTTTTTTTGGTAGCTTAACACATTGGTGACTCAAAGTTGTAGTTATCAAAATAAGTAATTTTCCTAATTTCTTGATAACTCATGACTTCAAACTATAAAATTATATTCTTTTGCAGTATCCCTTTTACTATTCAGCGACTATGTGAATTACTAACAGATCCAAGAAGAAACTATACAGGAACAGACAAGTTTCTCAGAGGAGTAGAAAAGGTATATATTTTATTTTGGAAATTACATTAAACTGAAGCATAATGGATTTCAGAAAAGAACATTGGGTAAGATCCATTTCAGGCACCTTTTCTTGAAATAGGTTTTCTAGTCTACCTTGAGTTTTTTCTGTACTGTTTTCTATATATGTTTCCTCAGAGAGAAAGAGATTCATAGGAGGGTATATAAGAGGGCCAGAGGTGGTCACGTTCACGATGGGGAAAGCAGCTTATTATCTCTTAAATATTCACTGTGTACCAACATATTAATTAATGGTTCTGAGAAGTTCTTTAATTAATATATTACCTTTAATAGGGCGGATTGCAAACTACAGAATTCCTGAAGTTTAGAGATACACAGCTTGGCAAACTTGGTGGTTTAAAGTGTTTAAATTAGGCATTGAATACAAGGATACAGGTCAGATTGTGGGAGAGGAGGTACTACTAATAAGAAAAGGACATTCAGGAGAAAAGACACAACTTGATAAAGATGTCAAAGTGTTTGAGTGAATGAAAAGTAAGAAACTGCATTTGGGGTGAAGAACTGGAGCAACTAACTGAAATTGTACCAGTGAGTTTCTGATTCTGATGGTTGATCCTAAACCATAATTCCTTGTTCATTTAGAGGTTCTGACTCAAGCTCAGTTATTTTACCCTGGCAATAGGAATCCCAAATCATTACTTCAGTGATTTACAATAAGTATTAGAGCTTTACTGGGCTAATACGTTTTGTTGAGTAGAAACTCAACATTTGAGTGAGATTCCCAAAGAGCAGGAAACTGATAGTTTATCATTGTTTATTTTTCAGCAGTTAATTAAATTTTAGAGGTTTTTGGGTGAAGAGTCACTATGTTACAATAGATATACCAGGGAGTACTGCCTTCACATCAGGCCGCAGTGCTTCATAGTCCTGTGACTTTTGGTCCAGTTATTTCAGTCCCAGTTTCCACCCTGAAATTTGGATAATGGAGCCGCAAGGGGATTAAATGCAAAGCACTTAGTCTTTGAAGTCTAGTCCATAAAAAGGCTTCATTCTCCTTCTGGGGGTGCATGGTGCTGCACAGGAAGCTCTGGATTGGATATGGCTTTACAAGGAAAATCATTACACTTAAACAAAGCATTTCAGTCTCTAAATGCCTTCAGAAGGGAACAGAGCTCCACTCTACCACATGCAGGATGTGATGCCAGATCTCCAGAATAACTAGAGTAGAAACAAGTAAGATTAGTGCCCTACCTCTCATACTCTCTTTCAGTCCTTTGTTGTTGTTGTTTATGATCAGTTTTCATTTTTAGTCACTTATTTCCCTTTATTAGAGAAATTGGAAATTTGAAATTTTTATTAGAAATGTATTAGAGTAAGTGGAAGCTTAGCCTACTTAGGCGATTTTGAGAAATTTAAAACAAATGACTAAATTTTATTAGAGTCTTTCCCTCATATTAAGTCACCTTTTTCTTGTTGCAGAATGTGATGGTTGTTAGCTGTGTATATCCTTCCTCAGAGTAAGTATAGAGATTTTCATTTCTATTTCTGATATATAATTTAATTACTATATTCTAATATTTTATAAAAATGATAGTTTTTTTCAATATATTCTTAACATAGGTTGCATTTATTTTATATGCAATTAAACATAACTTTTTTATTTGTTCTGAACCTACCATCCAATCCCCACAGTAAAATATTACCAGTAATATTACCTATGTGTTTTTCCAGTAAAGAGATTTGGGTCCTGAGGTGCCATCCTATACGTCTTTCCATGGTATAACTGCTAGGTTTGGAATAGCGACTTGAAGCCATTCCTCTTTATGATAGAAAAGTATTTCTCCTTGTCAAGATCTGTAAAGCACAGTAAGGATTCTGTTTAGGGCACTTTTTCTCAACCTTGGCGCTGTTGGATTTTGGACCACATAATTCTTTATTGTGAAGGATTTCTTGTGAATTGCAGGAGTTTATTATTGCCCTGGCTTCTATACACTGAGGCAGGTAGTATTCCCCACCTCCAATACCTTTAGAGATTGCCAGGGTGTGCCCTGGAATGAACAAGGCAGGGAGAAGAGGTTGCGTCCTGTTGAGAAACATCTGTTAAATATAAACTCCCTCTGCTTTCACACAGAAAATAATAGTGATTTCATTTTTAGAACTCGCAAGTTTACGTGGTTGTTAAATAACATAGCAAATAATCCCATAAAGTGACACTTCTTGGCAGAGAAGCTATTAAAAAACCTTTACGGTTAAAAATAATTGCTTCCTTTTTGAACTAAATATGTTTTGCTTTGTTGATGAATGTAAGGTAATCTGGAAAACATTTTTAAAAGGTGTAAATTAAATCTCATTGACAGATAACAGATTTTTTCCCCCTACACATTAGTGTGTTTTTGCTAATTCTCACAAAAGTCTTTTTGTTTGGATAGGTTGCAGTAAGATCTTACAAAAGATCTTTTAGATCCATCGTTCTTGTTACAATTAAAGAACTGAGCCATCCGTAACTGTATTTTCTTTTCTTATAGGAAAAACAGTTCCAATAGTTTAAATCGAATGAATGGTGTTATGTTTCCTGGAAACTCACCAAGCTATACGGATAGGTGAGATTGTTGATTTTCAGTATCCAAGGAGCTTGCATTTTCCTGATTCTGAGTAGCAGGCTCAATACGGTTTTGGACATTTTTATGGAGGATATAGGACCTACTAAATTTGTTAATTTGATATGGCATGGATCTGAAAGTCACGATTACAGCAAATACTTCTCTGATCTGTACATAAACATACACTGGGAGGGATGACTTTTTAAAAAGGGGAAAATGATGTTGATTTATCTTATTATAGGTCTAATATAAATGGGCCTGGAACACCCAGGCCACTTAATCGACCAAAGGTTTCTTTGTCAGCCCCTTTGACAACAAATGGTTTGCCTGAGAGCACTGACAGCAAAGAGTCAAATGTACAGCAAAATGAAGAGAAAAGCCACAGGTTGGTTTGCATGTTTTCATAGAATGTTAACACATTAATGGTTTTCAGCATTATTTACTATTTACAGTGTGCAGTCAGCCTTCTGTATCTGGATTCCGCATGTGTGGATTCAGCTGAGGATCAAAAATATTTTTGGGGAAAAAATATCTGCACTTGTACTGAACATGTATAGATTTCCTCCCTCTTTTGTCATTCCTTAACAGTATGATAGGTTACTTACCTGTCATTTACACAAGGTAGTATAAAATCATCTGTAGATGATTTATCAAGTCTGTGGGAGGGTGCGCATAGGTTATATGCACACACTGCATTTTATATATGGGGTCTCCTCGGGGCTTTGGCACCAGTCTCCTGTGGATATGGAGGAATGATCGTGAGATTGCTCTCAGGACCAGAGCAAGGCTTTAATGCATCTGTAGGAGCCCTGCTTTCTGTATTTAATACAGCTGAAGGTGGATGTAGAAAAGACTTTGTAGAGAATTTTCTTCCACAGAAAGGTCGTAACTTCCCAGCTAGGCCCTACTGAGAATTATTCCTGAAGTAGTTCAGGTTGCCTTCTGTCATGGGTTTTTGCACAGATACTACAGTGTTAACTTTGACACTAAAATGCAATTTAAGAAATTGGACCTTAAAAATGAGAATGTAAAAGATGAGGAAGATAACCTTACCAATGATTGACACTGTGAAAACACGTTTACAGTGATTCTCCAGCATCTGAATCAGAAGTTTCCTCAGTGACCTCTGTGAAAAATAAGCACCCAGATGAAGATGCCGTGGAAGCTGAGGGCCATGAGGTCAAAAGACTCAGGTTCGACAAGGAAGGTGGAGTCAGAGAGATGGCCAGCCAGACCACTTCCAGGGAAGTTCCTTCAGTTACGGTGGAAGGGAGAGAAGCATCCTCACCTCAGGAAAAAGACAAAGAAAGTAGTCGAGCCAGGCAGCACAGTGCAGAAGAGGAGGACGAAGAGGAAGAGGAGGAAGAAGGTAGATAGAGACCATTTGTAAAAGGGTGGAACAGGAGACCTCAAATTCTTGTATTTTTATTTTTTTCCCCCACGAATGAATTTAACATAATGGGACTCCTTATAATGTTGGTGTTGGGGTTTTCTCCTGCCTGTAAGTAGTTGCTGCTTTCAGGGGATAGGATTTGAAGTGTAGAGTATCAGAACTCAGAAAACGTACCGGGATGTATTTTGAAAATAAAATTTAACTACAACAACATTTGCTCTTTTTTAGAGTCTTTCATGACATCAAGAGAAATGATCCCAGAAAGAAAAAATCAAGACAAAGAGTGTGATGATGCCTTAACTGTGAATGAAGAGACTTCTGAGGAACATAATCAAATGGAGGAATCTGATCTGCCTCAAACTGAGAAAGAGTCACATTCTGAAGGTAGTGAAAGTACAGGCCCTGTAAGTAGTGGCTCTGACTGCCACGAGACAGAAGAATTAGTTGGATCCAATTCCAGTAAAACTGGAGAGATTCTTTCAGAATCATCCATGGAAAACGACGACGAAGCCACAGAGGTCACAGATGAACCGATGGAACAAGACTAACTACCTAGAAGCATATAGATACAGTATTTTACATACAGTTCTGGTTTTACACTGTATAAAACTTTTATGTAATAAAGTGGACCTTTAGTTTTACAAGAAAAGCAGGTTGTAAAATAAAGTACTTTAAGAATAAATCCTAAAAGAGTTGTACATGTAAGAACTGTGAATATCAGCTCCTTTGGGTCCTGCTTACTGCTCTTTTTTTTTTTCCTTTTTTTGGGGTCTGGTCAAATCAGTGGTTTGTGTATAGATTTTTTTTTTTTTTTTTAAATTTAGAATTAAAGTTTTTAAACTGGAAGGTAATTATAATTTTGAAAACCTTTTAAAGATGATTACATTTAGTTCATACATATGCAAGAAAGCTTTCTGTCTTGTCTCCTGACAGCTCTAGCAGTTTTCATATTTTGGTCATAGTTTCAACATTTTAACATGTGAATTATAGGGTTTCATGCTGGTTTCCAGATTTTATTGTTCGACTATGTACAATGAAACTTTAAGTCATATATACATATATATATATTATTCTAAGGGGGAAATGTTATATTTTTCTGTTTCTATAAGAGATGAATACAGTGGATACTTTTTCTATTGGTAATGATTGAGTTCACCTCTTTCAGAAGACATTTTCTTTCTCTTCTGAGTAATTCAAATAAGATCTGGCCCTTGTGAAACCCTGGAAATCTTGTCTGTTGAAATACCAGGTTAAACACATTCCAAGAGATCTGTTCAAACTAAAATTCTTTTGTATACTTCTGAGGTGCCTGAGAAAAAAAGACTTCATTATTTATGAGAAAATGTGCTTTATCTTGGAAATTGTGTTCAAACATTAGCTTGCTATTTTGCTGACATGAGACCATCTCAAAGAATTGGGCAGGTTCCTTAACCTTTTGCTTGCTTTTCTGAACATTGTGAATATCACATTTCTTTCTAAATTATTCTAGAGTGTGCAAATGTCAATGGTATGAAACACCACTGTACTGGAAGAATTAATATATTACTGTAGTAATGTATGTACCTGAGCTAAGGTGACTGAAGCTTTAGGGGTACATAGAAACCACCATAATTTGTATGGCATTTTGAAGTGAATTAAATATTTTTGAACATGCTTCTTTGACAGCCAGTGTTCTATTTTTCAGATCAACACAAAGCACAACGATTACTCTTAAACTCAATATTTTCAGATTCACACATTTAAAGTCATGCAAGCTGCAACTTCCCTGTCAAAATTACTGGCTGCCAAATTTATACCTGTTTCTTCAGCTGTACCTTTTGATATTTAGAATTTTTAAATTTCTGTAAAGTAGATTTTGTAGAATGTAATGTGTTTACTGCCTTTGTGAAGCGGTATATTATTGTATAATTTCTGTGTGTAACTGAATGCTTGGGCTTTCAATACAGTATTCATATAAAGCAATAAATATTAATGTTATGAAATATTTGAGTACATTTTTATCAAAATACAAAAGAATCCCTTTTTTAGTTTCAGGGACCTGAAGTTACACAGATGAACTTATAAATACTGATGCAAGCAGTTCCTGACACCTTATCATATGCTTTGGGTGATTTGGACAGAAATTTTCCCACAAGTTTTGCATTTTGACTACTTAAATTACTAGTAACTAAAAATACCAAAACAATTTGGCTCCATTTATGTTTGTAGAGTAATATACTACTGACTGACTAGACTGTCAGGTTCACAGCAGCTAGATGATATATTTGTGTCTAATAGTTGAGATTAGAAAACTGAATATTGATATACTGTTCCCAAGAGGGAAAAAATCAAACATTGTAAATTAAAATTTTTTGCGAAAGTGTGTAAGCAAATTTTAAATGTGACATTTATTTGTAGTGACCTATTACTTTATTTTGTTGAGGGATTTTGCCAATGAGAACAGATTTAAAATATTGTAAATTTAGAAAATTTGACATTTTCTTTAGAATATTTATGAAATTGTCAACAAACCTATTCTTGAAGCTCCTGTGACCTTTTGATAGTTTTTATTTTAATTGTAGTGCCATGGGCCATTTGTAAACCAATTGATTTACTTCTGTTGGTTTTGAGTTGAGATTTGGCCATCATGACTTTGAGGTCTGTGGTTTTATTTGTAAACTTGCAATTGCTAATTTTGCAAGGGCAAGTGTATTTCTTTATTAAATAAAGTACAATAATGGTGAATGTACCAAAATGACATCACTTAACTCTATGAGAGATCTGCATTTTAATCTATAGTTTAATAGTTTTAATATTTATTAGAGACTCATGTTGATCATAGATCAAACTCGTTGCTGTTTATACAGATAAATGTAGAATGCTAATGGAATAACTTCTTTAGGATAGGTGGAATATTTACATAGTTCACTTGGAAAACCTTGTTCAGTTGGTTTTTATTTATCAGTGGCCACTTGGAAGTACATTTCCACAAGTATCTATAGGTGAACTTGACACAGACTTTGCCCGCTGAAAATGTTGTTTATCATGCTGAGTCGTTTGTGAATGTTTAAAAGACTAATTTTAGGCATGTTAACACATCAAGCAGAGTCCTATTAAAAAATCAAAATAGAGATTAAAGATTTTTGGTGTTTGACCTTGAACAGATTTTTACCAGTTACTCTATTTTCTGAACCTAACACATAAAAAGAATTTTAAGATGCTGAGGAAGAAAGACTATAAATGTCATGTGTTTTTAGCACTTTCCCCTTTTAAAAAGTGAAAACATAATCCTTACACATTTTTGAGAAATGTTACCATTTTCAGTATGTAGTGAAACCGAAATAAGTGAAAAATGTCATTTTCAATGTTTATTATTAGATTAATCTACTTAGTGTTAATCACAACTACACCTTTCAAACTTGTGGCCAGAGCAGTGAAAATGCCAATCAGTGAGCCATAACCATTTGGCTTGGAAAGGTGGCCCAGAAATTCTGGGCCTGAAAGTTGTGGGCTATTAAAAGCATTGAGATTCAGAGTCTTTTATTTTGTCGGTGTAGATAGGCATGTATTACGCATTTTTGCATTTGTAAAATCAGCAAATTTTCAAGTAATGTAAATGTAATACACTAGTTTAAAGATACTTGGGCAGAATCTAAAGCTGCTATAATGTTTGACTATGAAAAGTGTAAGGATGAAAATGCAACTTGTAGAACCAAAGGAAATAAAAATTTGGAGTAGCCTTTCAAATTGTTTTCTGAACAGGAGTTTCTTCAATACTTATTTCTGAAATGAAGGTCAGCTTTCAAGATTTGTGGTAATCATAAAATGGCTAAATGCAGAATACCTTGTAATTTCCTATGGAGTTTTAAAAATTAGGTTTACTGGGTTATGGGCCTAATAAGGATGCTAGTATGTATTGGTTAGAATACATCTATTTCACATTTTTAAAGATATCAGTACACTTCAGAATTTTCTTTCAACTTGGAGCCTAGATTACTTTGCCAAATAAATGTATTATTTTCATAATGCAATAAAGTATAAATTAGAAGAATATCTTCATGTGTGGAATGACTTTATTTCTCATACTAGCTCACCCCTGCCTCCTTCCCCTCCCGCCAGATGATTGAGGAACAAGTGTTCCCTGATCTGTACGGAGGAAAGCGAGACCTGCACAGCTCTGATTGTAAGTGACAGTAGAATGTTGAGTATGGAGACTGTAGCTGAGTTCCACTGACCGTTGTGGGGGTGTTGCCAGGCTTTTCAAGCTTTCTCTGACCAAATGCAGACTTGATCATGTATACATCTCTTGGCATAATCGGGTGTTAGTGTGCGTGTACATATGTTAGTGTGTGTACACTTCTGGATAGCTGTGTGGTAAAATGGCATAATTACATGAAGGGGAGAGGATTTCTTTATGGCTTCACTTCTCTGTTCTTTGTAGCTACTGTTACACCTTAGGTAGAGTAGTTTAAAAGTTTTTTACTTTATGCTTCTCATTCGTATTTGGTCTCTACCAAATTTTATTTGTGAAATGGTACAGCCACTGTGGAGTTTGGGGCTAATTACAGGAAGATTGACTTCCACTGACCAGGAATTATATGAATGGTGGATGGCCATTGTCCTGTCTAAAATGAAGACAGTGCTGTTCCTTTGTATTGTAGCCATTTTAGAGCAACGGGTTTTAGTTAAAAATTACTGGGTTCATCTGTATATTTTCAGTTTTTGTTCCCAAAGGCAATGCGATTTTTTTCTTTTTTTGGTTGAGTATGAAAATGCTGCAATCTCCCTGTTTACTAGTCTGCAAACCCCACTATTTTGCTCATTTTGTTACCTCACAGGCTAGTTCCATGCTTGGCAAGTCAGAAGCAATTGGGGTAGGCAGGTCCTGTGCCCACTTGCAGGGTGTCGAGTTCTCTTGCTGCTAGGTTTGTGAAGCTAGGAGCAGTCCACACTGCAGGATGTCACAGGAAATCAGTGTGCAGTTGCACTGTGCACTGCCAGAAGTGACCATGCTAGCAAAGAAGTCTGAAGATAAGACTGGCTCTCCCTGCTTAAATAGCACAGCACATTCTTTCCTGCTAGTGTTAATGCTTCTGCAAGTGGGAGCTTTTGTCATTAAGCCTCTGAGTTCCACTTCAGATGCTGTCCTGGGACGTGTTCCTAGGTCAGTAATACATCAAAAAATCCTTGCAGTTGAGTAGGCTTTTACGGATTGCTTATGTGTGCTGAGAGTTTGAGGGATAGGTGTTAGTATGCTGTCTTCATTGTGGGTCATACTGTTTTTCTTTGCATCGTGTGCAGTGCTCAAGTGTATTTAGGAATGCATGCCAGCCTGCTTTCAACCTACTTACAGTTAAGTTACTTGGTTGGAATTGAGAATGCGGGTTCTCATAAATGATTAAAAATGTGAGCTTTCAGGTCTTTATACAGGAAGTTGTCTAGTCCTTAATGTAAGTGCATTGTAGCAGTCAAGTAGCGATAGTAACATTTCTCCTGGAAGATGGGTCAGTTTCCATTGTGGGAGTTGTCAAAAATGCACCTTTGCTTAGCCCCGTACTACAGGTGAGGGCTACATAGGGGGATGTGGATACCAAATAAATCAGCTATTGTGATATCAGGGGCTTTTAAAACAGACTACCAGATTTATTTCAATGTTGGGTGATTCACAATTCAAGTTCTCAATGTCTGTGGTCACTGTGCTTTGTTTTAATACTGAACATCAGGAGTATATTCTAGGTATGCACAGTGGCAGAAATAAGCTCCCAGTATATTTCATAAGTTCCCTAAAAAACAATAGAGCATAGAAAAATAAGTATTTGGTTTGGATTCTAATTATGGATATCAATTTCACTTTTCCTACAAATGAAGATACAGATGCAAAAATACATTTGTCTCTTGTTAGGTGGCAACTTGTATAAGGTACTATGTGTTTGGGGGAGCTAAAAGTGAACTCAGTTTTGACTTGAGGAATTCAGTTACCTTTGAAGAACAAGCTATTGATGTTTTTAATCAGTGGCACCTGTGACTTAATGGGCTCCAAGAAGAGAGCCATGTGGAGGCACTTGTGGCAGAGTGGGAGGGCTTCTGAGGTGGGTGGGGTTCAGCTCCACCTCAGATGAGCTCTAAGATCAGGAAGTAACAGATGGACTGGGTAAAGTGAGTCAGCTGAAATCACAGCTTGCCATCCCCTGCTGAGGGATCTTAGGTAGTTTTCTCATTTATAAAATAAGCAGGTAATATCTACCTGAGTGGATGATTAGAAGCATTGAATGTAGTGATGAGTATGAAGCTAGGTAAGGGCTCGGCTCTGATACTTCTTGTAGGGAGGAGAGACATAATGCACTGACTGGGAAGATAATGGTTTTATTGGAATCAGTGCTGAAGTTTCAATCTTGGTCAGTGCCAGGAAGGTAGTAACAAGTGTTAACTGCACACTTACTCCATGAGTGTATGACATGTACTCATTTAACCTCATCAACTCTGTGACGTACTTAATATGATGCCCATTTTATGGATGATATATTTGAGGTAAAGAAAGGCAACTTGCCCTGGGACCCTTTAAAAGCAGAAGGTCAGAATTAGAATCAAGAGTTCTAAGTCTTCAACCCCAGTGCTGTTCATCCCTTCAGTTTAGGGGCAGTCTCATCTTGGAAAGCTTGCAGGATTAGGCAAGGGTAGCACTTACAGAAGAGGGAGCCACTCTGAAGATCCTCAGAGCCACTTAAACCTGCCCACAATTCAGGACATCAAATGACTCCTTGTCGTTCACAACAAACCCAACCTCTTGGTTTGTTTCATGCTCCATGTACCTCACTGTCTAGCCTCACCTTATTTTCTAAATGGATCACCCATATTTTTCCAGCTAGATTTTTTGAACACATGATCTGTTTTAAAATTTATTAAGATTAGATAATTTAGATGCAGTAAAGTTCAAATAAAACAGCACATAACCAACTGCCATTTTTCTCGAATTCCTTGGTTATACTTCCCCTTCCTGCCCCCAGGCAAATGCCTTTACCCATGGGGCACAGTGCTGGAGAGCAAGGATTCTGAAGCCAGATTACTTGGATTTGATTCTCCGTTCTGCCATTTGCTGGCTGTGTGACCTCTGGGCATCTGTAAGGTAATCAGGGTGAGGGCCTACCTTACAGGACTGCTAGGAAAATGTCTGGCAACGGTCAGCACCACATAGAGAGGAGGTCAGAACCCAGCATTGTGAAGCAATGGACTGTATCTTGCAGAGAATGAGACTTCTGCAGACACCAGGTCACTCTCCTGACCCTTTCCCACAGTGAGTACATTGCCTACCTGTGTTGAGATCTGCCTTGTCCTTTTTCCTTTCCTGTTGAATAGATTTTTGTGACTTCCAAATGAGTACCTAGAAAGCCGCCTCATGTCAGTTTAGCTCCTCCATCGTCTCAGGGTACAGATGAACCGGTGGTCTTGAAATGACCTTGTACTTGAGCCATTCTTTGCTTAG